AAGTACAAAACGTTTGAGTGTAATTCTGTTTTTAACGTATATCAGATACAGCCAGAAGACGTAAATTTTTTCGTTGTTTTTAATCCATTCTACATTATAGTAATTAGGTTTCTAACTATGCGAATTAGGCAGTAGATAGGTCCAGTCACTGATATTGATTATTTGTAGAAATAATTAGGTTACTGTCTTTTCCCTGTCTACCTCAGCTGGCTTCTAGGATAATGTTTCGTCCGATATGCGTTAGGTGAATACTTGACAACTTTAAGGTGATCAAACGATTGATTTCATAGTCTAGTAGTCATCATACAAGGGTATTAAAATGAAAAGGTGTTGTTATGAGACTAATTCCTAGAACATAAGCATGACCCTACTCACGACTGAATTTTAGGGCTTAGGCGTTGAGATGAAGTGTTCGCGATTTGAAGCACTGTTGTGGGCGATACTAGATAATGACATGAACTTCTCAGCAATTTCCAAACATTTCTTAACATTATTGAATGGTATGTTGTTACTTTAAGGCCGGTTAGTTATCACGTGATTTATTCGCCAATCGAAATACGACTTATTCAATCTTGGTACTGTGCAAAACCAAAGAAATTCGACCGGTCAGCCTAGTGATATTATTGGTCCTTTGTTCGTCTAGCCTGTCCACTTGAGTCCAGAACACCTACTATGCGAATTATTTATTTCAAACATACTTAGTTTATGTACCAGCCAAACAGACCACATCATAAAATAGGAAATAACATTTATAGAATATCAAGCCGAAAAATGGCTGTGAACGTGGGAGATTAGTCAATAAATTGAGTATAGCTTAAGAACGGTAAATCGTATAATAATAGTCTATAGGTCAAAATAAAACTTACCATTAAGGGAATATAGGTATACGTAATCTAGTTACTGAAAAGTTGTACAATAGGTGTATGTATGCATATACAAGCTCATTAATAGCTCTCAGAAGTCACTCGTAATTAATTTTCCCTAGTATATAAATAACAGTAAGACTTATAAGACGATAGTTATGAATTTATATTTTCACACCGTAAATGTTTACACATTGTTTTAGGATTCCGAATTGAAATTCTGAAAAACTCGAAAATTTTCAACTGAAAGGCAGGTAAACAAGAACGTACCTACCACGTGATCTAAGCTGATGCATAGATAACAAATAGATGGAAATATTAAAAAAAACTTAGTGATAAAGTATTCACTAAAGTGCATTAAAACTTTTAAAATAAGGAAACAATATACATTCCTTTTAATTTTGAAGATCTTCCGTATCAGCTGATGGATACAAATTAATTGAAATGTGGTTCATAAAAACAGCTGACTTGAATTTCCAAAAAGAATAGAGTGGGATGCTATCTGAAGGTAAACAGTCGCGAAAATAATGATTTAACGGTATTACCTTTTAAAATCTGGACCGAAAATTGTGACATTCCATCTTACATAAAATACTAATCACCAATCTCCGATCTTTGTTTGAATAAAGAGTGAGGAAGATGGCTAATAATCGTAACTTCAGAATTGGAATTTATAATCAGTAAATCAGGTATTTGTAATTGTCCCGTGTACAGACAACACGTTCAAACGGGAAACATTCATGAAAAGCATCATAAAAATGCTTATTAAGCAAAACTCCTGAGGATTGTTACATCAGTAGGTTACTAGGACTCTCTATGGAGTGGGCTATTTAGGGAATAAATCCTATAGCTGATTTTCAAAAGCTTGTGGATGGAGCTTTCAAACTAAACATTTCATATTGTAGATTTCAGTCTAGAAAGCAGAAAACCTAGCATTACATTTGGATATACATTTCAGTAATAGACGTTCATCAGTTAATATTTAATTCACCTATATCTGATGCGAATGTTTAATGAGCCAATAATTGACCCTCTATAAAGGTATCGACCGATTGTCTACGTTGTATTTCATAAACAATGGGTTTTTTGCAGTGTTATTCAAGTTAATATGGTGGTGAACTAGTTCCTGAGCTAGGTGACTTCGCTTTCCTAATACTGTGGAATAACTAAATGTGCTGAAGACTAGCTAACTGGAATAAGCGGATCACTGGTAGAGAAACCTTTTGTTATTCCTCGTATTTACTGAATATCAGTAAACATTCTCGATCACTTCCTGTGATTCGTCCGTAGTGAAGTAGAGTAAGTTCGGTCACGTGTGTTCAAATAACTTTATAAGGCTAGTGATACTACAAAAGCTTATTTTGAATGAGCAACTCTACGGCTCATTGTGGAATAATCAATTCATTCTACATCAACTTCATTGACTACGAAGAAGGGAAAACATTTAGTGCACGGCCATTTTCGTATTTTTTTTTCGAGTGAAATTTTTTTTCATCCCTTTGGAAAAAATTTGATTGCGTGGACAGAACAACAGTATGGAAACTTTTTCGGTACTACGGCGTGCCTCAGAAGATAGTCAATATCATACGGAATTCCTATGATGAATTAAACTGCAAAATTGTGCATGGAGGACAGTTGACAAACTCGTTCGAGGTAAAGACCAGTGTCAGGCAAGGTTGCTTACTCTCACTCTTTCTCCTGGTGACCGACTGGATCATGAAGACGTCAACATCTGAAGGGAAACGCGGGATGCGGTGGACATCTATGATGCAGCTCGACGATCTAGACCTCGCAGATGATCTGGCCCTCCTATCGCAATCGCAACAACTAATGTAGGAGATGACCAGTGTAGCAGCAGTAGGTCTCAATATACACAAAGGGAAAAGCAAGATTGTTCGATACAACATAACATGCACCAATCCAATCACAATTGACGGAGAAGATTTGGAAGATGCAAAAACCTTTACATATTTGCGCAGCATCATTGATGAATATGGTGGGTCTGATACAGATGTGAAAGCGCGGATCGGTAAAGCAAGAGAAGCATATTTACAACTGAAGAACATCTGGAACTCAAAGCAACTGTCAACCAGCACCAAGGTCAGAATTTTCAATATAAACGTCAAGACAGTTCTACTGTATGGGGCGGAAAGCTGGAGAACTACGAAAGCCATCATCCAGAAGATACAGGTGTTTATTAACAGTTATCTACGCAAAATACTTCGGATCCGTTGGCCGGACACTATTAGCAACAAACCAGATCCCAGTGGAGGAAGAAGCGCTGGAAGTGGATAAGACACACATTGAAGAAAACACCCAACTGCGCCACAAGACAAGCCCTCACATGGAATCCTCAAGGCCAAAGGAAAAGAGGAAGACGAAACAACACATCACGCCGGGAAATGGAGTTAGACATGAGAAAAATGAACAAGAATTAGATGGAACTAGAAAAGAAGGCCCAGGACAGAGTGGGTTGGAGAATGCTGGTCTGCGGCCTATGCTCTATTAGGAGTAACAGGCGTAATGAATGAATATTTCAACGAACACCACGTTAATATCACAAGAGTTGGATAATACCAAAGAGAAGGAAAATTTGTTCTTCGTGCTTTCAGCGTTGACCCAGACAGAAACACAAACACGAAGTTAGCTAAATGAATATTCGTTTATGATAGTGCTCCCAACCCACAGAAGAGTTTATTGGCAGTCATAATAGGAAACAAGTTCAAGTTAGGTAAATAAACAAATTTAGCCAGACTTAACAAATACGGAAATACGTAAATGAAAGAATACATGTAAACGGTATTTGAACCAGGACGATAAGTAACAAAGTGGAATAGAGAGTCCCCACCAGGTTTTATGATCATTACGGAGACATTTTGAAATCTTATGTGTATTACTGAACTAACCATCTGCCATAATAGACGTACCGTATTGTAAGAACCTCACGGGAACGCAGTATTCACCAACGGGACGTTTCACGAAGCAGTGAAAGGACTTAGTCTTTATTTAAATGGGGTTCTGTAGGCGCGTGCATGCTGATTTATACTTTCCAACGAATTACCTACCCTTGGACTTATCTCAGTTTGTTGTTAATGCTAAGTGCAGCCAATTCCCTTGCAACCAATCTTTTGGAATGATAAATTTGTTGAACGGCAAAGCGCATGACTGGAATCCAAGAAGATACTCTAAAATGAAAACAATCTTGTAAGCGACCGCGGCATAGGTAGCTAGTCGCAGTATGACCACCATGAATCCAGACTTAAGTTGAGGAGGGAAGACATGACAGTTCAGAAAGCTTGCGATCTGTGCAAATCTGTGGAAAACAGTCTCCATCACCCGACCTGGGATCGATGAGTTGCCATCGCTTTCAGTCCCCCACAACATAGGTCCAGGCACATATATGCATCAGTCTAAGTTGCCATACCTCAAAGTACAAGCTAGACACCGAATTCATAGAAACAGTTACTTCGACGGTAGTAAAATAATCATCAGAGTATAGGTGAACACAACGAGAAGACATCGTTTTCCACATTGTTGCGAGACGTTAGTCTTAGTCGTAAATGTCCGTTGTTCGATCTGTTTCGATGAATGAACGTTGTGAATAGAAATTTTGAAAGACATACACTATTGCAGGATAGGTATATGAACTCTTTCGCCCAAGGAAAACCTTCCATAGGCAATAATTTGGCAATGTGAGATCATTCAATTTAGATTACTCAGGTGGCATATTTCTGTTTGAGTAAGACGTCAATGAAATGAACTCTCCTGAATGTCTTGAGGACTACATTAGTGTTAGTTGGATCTCCAACAATTCGAAATGCTATAGAACTACAATGGGCCAGTTTTTAGTCTGAACATATGGACAGAATCTTGAAACGAATAAAAACCTTGTTTGGATTTTGTAAACTTTCGTTACGTATGGTGAACAAACGGTGTCTGTCTGTCTATATACGAAGAAAGACGCTCCAAGGTACTTCGCTCTGTTTTCGCTTATAGCTGTGCAACACCTTACTGGAGGTGGGAAACACAGGTAGGTTCCTAAGTGTTATGGCATACGTTCATAGAACTTTATACGCTTTCGGTATCAGTTACTCACCAAGTTTGTAGTTTAGTGTTTTTTGAATTCATAACCGAATACAAAGGGTTACATATAGTCAGTAGCGCATCAATCAATTACACATGATTGGTCGATATATTCACTAATAACTTCACCTGTGTGACATACAATGCAGTTGGGAAATTGGGAAATACAGAAACATGCACAAATACACATTATTAGTTTCCTGCTTTTATGAAAATAATAATAGCGTGCAGAAAGAAAAACTTTACAATGACCGTTATGGTTGGTGTCAGTGGTGTATTACATATAGTAAAACTAGAAAATCACACAATAGTGGGTTCATAGTTAGTTTTAACAAATGTATTAAGATTCATTTGATGATATCCCGGTGTTTTAAAATAAGTAGAAGGCAAATATTCGACTGAAAGAATTGTAATACAAAAAGTGTCAATAATAGTTTAGTAGTAGTCCCCGAACCAAGCACACTGTCGAAAATGACAATCAAAATGCAAAAGGAACGATGGGAGTGTATTTATATACAAGAAGATGGAGTGGTTATATCCATTTTAAGAATTGAATTTCGCAAGTTAATAAAAGGAACAGTGTTACGGTGATTTGTATTGGAATCAGTTTTTAGCCTTCTCCATCAATGTACGCTCTCGTAGGTTAACCAAAAGGTCATGGATTTGGGCGCGTTTCTGGCTGACAGTAGCTTCTGGAAACCAACCAGCCATTTCGTGTTGGAAATAATCTTTCGTATAACTTTGAACAGGTTTCTAAAAATATATTAACCAGTGGTAAAAAGGCGAATAAGTGATAGAGTTATCTTTTCGGTCAGTTATTGATAGATTATTTCACGAAAACACTGTCGACAAAAGTAAACTGCAGGGTCGCGTATGAAACAATTTTAAGCGCAATCCAATAAGTATATTAGGGGTTACAAGTCATCAGTTACTAAGGTAATGCATATAAAGAAATGGACAAATGATCAATAATATGGATAGAATTTTCTGATATTATTTTAGAAATCTATATAAGCGAATATTATACAGAAGATGCGAGTTTACACCCAAGTATGCACAGTAACTATAGTACAAAGATTGGTTTCGGTAGGTTTACATCAGAATGAGCACACTAGGTACATAACAAGCATATAATTCTAACCACAGGTACGATTCATTTGTATTAGGCCCAGCCCATCAAGCGAAGGGCCATACACACTTTGATAGCCTGAAATAAATGACCGATATTCAGATTTACAAGTTACATGTTAACAATGACATATCAAGTTTACATCCATAATTAACTACGATATGTCAAAACAATTAAATTCACCTTGAAAAACATTTCCACATAATGAAGTAGGTAGATTCCACAATCAACCAGGTTACTCTGAACAGGCACTCGAGGACTAAAACCTCGAATTGTATCCTTATCGAAGCGGAGAACACCATCTTGGGCTGATCTGCGAGTATTCCATTCAGCTTGTAAATAACTGAAATAAACAAAAAATAAAATATTTGCATTTATATTTGTTTATTAGTAGTCTACAATATAGTGGGATTAAAAATTAAAGTTACATTCTTTTATTTATTGTGGTTTTTGTTCAAGATACGATATTCTTGTATTAAGTTAACATGAACTATGCTCAACATGACATGCAGCATATGATCTGTTATAACTCTACGTATTTTTCATATATGTGACTTCATCCTAATTAATAATCAAAATGGGTGTACAGTCAATATACAAATGAATTTATTGTTAACCAGGGTCGTTTTTATGTTTTGGGGTTAATAAATCACTTGTACCGGTCTTGGTGTTCTTTACGTCATGGGAATTGCATTGGTTTACCGTTTTACAGGTATAAGTAATAAGCAATTCTGACATAACAATTAGCGACGACTAGATAGAACAACTGACGACAGGAATTTCGGAAAAAACAAAACAAAACAATCGCTGACTGGGTAAATTTACAAGCTTCAGTCTCCAACATAACTGTCTGTTTCCAGTTATAACCCAGTTTTCAGTTCAACTTACCCCAAATCCTGTTTCCTCAGTTATAAATATAATTCTGCTCTTATTTATCAAGTCTATGTTACAATAAACGACGCGGTTACTAATGTAAGAACATGTCAGTTTCTGCAGCAGAAGTAAAACGGATGCTTCAGATTGTTGAAGATTTATTTGTTAATCAGATCCCACTTAATGCTCATCGGTGCATTGAATGAACATATGCCTAAACAATCAAATTCGGAATCGCACTCAAAAGTCGTAGATACACTTAACGAGTTAACTGATACAGTAAGGAACAGTTTTGTGAATGAGGAAGAGGTCAACGAATTCCTTAATAATAATCCTCGTACAAAATACGATGGAGTAGAAAAGAAAACCTACTTCTTACACTTACGTTTCAAAGGTGATGAAATTGCTGGAATAATTAATCACAGACTAAACTCTGCGTTGAAAGTGACCTACCCAGCAGCAAAACTTATGACAGTACGGCAAACGAACTTCTATCTGAAGTTTGTGCTGATGATGTCGTTCAGAAGAAGGATGAAAGCTCCACGACCAAATCATCCAGCTCAGAGAACAAAACTCCACCGAAATCATCCACCTGAGCTACAAATCTTCTCCACCATCTCAAAAAAAAACAAACTGCTCACTTAAACAAACCAAAATCGACAAGTCCTCTTTTCTTAGTAGCTCCAATTGCATTTACCAATTCACATGTACGTGCCAAAGCACATACATTGGAAGAACTGAGAGAAGAGTGCATGTCCGAATTTCTGAGCGTGTTCCAAAAAACTTGAGGCTGCGAGGGACTAATGCTTTCAACAGCCCAATAGCTCGGCATCTACTTGACACCGGGCACACCCTCGACATTCCGCACGCTTTTGAAATTATCAACAGACAAAGAAGTACGACCACCCCCCATTTTGCTGAAGCCATTGTGATCAAAAAACTTAAACCGGACTTATGCATTCAAAAAGAGAATTTAATAAACTTATCACTACCCTAGTAACCCCTTTTTTGTTTGTGTGTGTGTTTTGGTTATTTGGAGTATTTCATTCATTTATTTATTTTAAAATATTTATACTCCCCCCTAGTACATAATTCTTAAACCACATTATTATTCACACATTTCTACCACCTGATCCTCTTAAATTATCTTAACTTTTCAAATTTTATTTAATTATTATTACGTAACCTATCTTATGATTATTAAATTTCATTAATCTCTAAAATTATTACATAATTCATGAACTTCACTAAACTATTACACCACCCAACCCGAATTAATTTCTTTTGACATCTGACCTGTTCTAGCATATATATATAGTTATTATTGCAATCCAGTTATTTACACTCATCCATGTCAATTGTTTTCACACTATCTCAATGTAAAAATTCTATCACGTTTTTGGTTTGTAAGCAGCTGACGAGAAACCTCGAAATAATATGAATTCATACTATTCTGCACCAATATTTGTTATTGCTTTATTTAAATTCATAAAGGGAACCAATTACATGAAATCCTTAATAATGTTGACTCTGGGCAATGTTCAAATGTTTTTTCATCACATCCCTCTCATTCTAATTATCCAGTCACGTCGGGTGGGACGAATGTTTCAAGTGAATCAATTTCTGATCAAATTCCTAATGATGTCATATCAGATGCTGATTATCTTGATGATTCATTAGTTTCTAATGAAGTCTTTAATGAGTTTGAGAAAAATGTTTCAAATGTATCGAATTCCGGCGATATCATAACAAATGTTGCTTGTTCTCACGATGCATTTGTTTCTAGTGAAAAATTAGTCAATATGATGCACGAATTCTCAATGGATTCAAATCTAATTATAGTTCTAACGGACCCATATTAAGTGTTATTTATCCTCACAATTCACTCACCTCTAGTCAGTGTGAGAAAAATGTTTTAAACGAGTCACACTCTGATCACATTTCAAATGTGATTGTAGCAGATTTTGGGTGCTCTCACAACTGATATATATGTTACATAGAATCCCTCCTCAATGCTATGATAAATCAATCGATATAACAAGTGCTTGCGGAGCAGTCGCGAAACCAGATTGCAGTGCATGGAAGTCGGCAGGTTAAATATTTCATTTATTTGTGTTTATTAGTAGTTTTCTAGTTAGTTTAATTAATAGATTAATTAACAATCATTATTATGCCTTATTATAGATAGATCTATCGAGTGATATTGTGATATGCAGTCATTTATGGTTAGACAATGTCGCTTAGATATTCGAAAAGACAGCGAATCAACTTTCTTCTCGTTGTAAAGTAATTATTCCTAGTAGTTACAGAAGGAGAAATAATCTTTTTTGTTCTTGCACAAGATTAGTTTGTTCACAGTATACAATAGTCACCCAGTTACTGGTACGAGTTACTCTTTCCTTAATAATAAATTTTTTTTCTCCAAACATTTTTCGCAACTGTTATGATATGGGTTTATTTACACCTTCGAACATGTTCGGTAAACAACCATGTGCTTGCTCCTTCTTTCTATTCAAAGTTAAATTAAGCACACTAGTATAACTCTTTAACTAGGTGCTTTATACATATGAGTCAATTCCTCTTCAAAAAAGTACTTCTGGCCTAACTGAGCGTCTATTCTTAGGGTGACTTGATTGTATTTAATTAATTCTGCTTTATTTCATCTGATAAACTCTTCGTATACATCCAACTAGCACATAGAGTTTACGGCAGTGATTCCTTGCAATAATCTCAGTAACGATTTATTAAACGGTATGATGATACTACGAGTAATTTGGTGAATGCTAATATGTTTGATCAACTGTGCCAATGCTAACGCAAATAATAATGGGGCATTGCAGTAACTTGCTGCATGTGCATACACGAGACATTAATAAATTTTCCTGTCTAAAATCACAAACTATATGTTTTAAAAGTCAAGTCATATTTCTACTGAAATAATTAAAAATTACAGTCACGGACTACTGACCTGTGACAACAATAAGATGTCGAGTTTAATCAAAGAGGTTTCAGTACAGTGAAAATTATCTGAAAGTTCAATACGAATGTCTCTATTTGGTGGAACAGTGAGATCTCAAGGAGAATAATGTTCGTAAAGTAAGATCTGATGGTTTTATTCAATAAATAATGCTGAAAAAATAGAGGTAACTTACTTTCGAATAACATGCAAATTGCCAACTCGGCTTTGACAAGGAAGCGAATCGAATAGTAAAACACATGGCCTATTCAGGGTATTTTCAAAATAATGTGATTTAGTAACAGATACAAAGAACAAATAAAGCTAACTAAATAGAATATATACATGTGACAGTGATTATAAAGTCTCTAAAATATCAAGTTATTTACTTGCCATAGGGTTATATTTTGGACCAACTGATAAACATATTGAGGTACGAGTTAACGCCAAGTGTATGGTCTTAGAAATACAGTAGACAACTGTGAACCGAAAAATTTTTGGTAAAGAAACAAGAATATGAACTCTACGTAACTAACAATACAAGTTAAATAGAAAAAGGAGTTGCTTAATTTTCACATAGTAGTTCGACTGAACAGACTGAGTCAGTCCGTCAGTGACAACGTGGAACTTCGTACGTACGTATATCAGTCCGAGTTGCCATACCACATTAGCACAGAGATGCAGTTGTCGACTCAAATAACGTAGTGGTAGAGGTAGTAAAAGTATAAGCAGGAATCGGAAACATTAGGGTTTGAAGTTTTTTTAAGGAGTATAATTCAGTGAAATGAGTTTGGAAAGAGAAAAAAAGGGGAGATGAAGAAATCAGGAGATTAGAATTTGGGAGAACACAAATAGTAGATGCACCTGTGCCATTACAAACGATTTTGAGCCATGTTATTCAAGGTCTCTAACCATCGGTTTCTATTGTCTCGCGGATACCAATCAGGTAGTCTACATCTACCAACATGACTCAGACCACTTGTCAGTGACTTCATGGATTTGTGCCACGTTTTGATCTGGCCGCCCATAGCTTTCTTCCAACCTACTCCTACACCAGAAAACGCCGCACGTCGGGGCAGTCGGTGGTTGGGCATATGTAACACGTGTCCCAGCTATCTCAACTGATGAAGTTTTCCTACTTCCTCAACTGATTTGTCATCCTTACCTAGTACCCGTTTCCTAACAACTGCAATACTTACTCGATGGTCCCAGGATATACAAGCAACATTTCGAAGACATCTATGATCAAATACTAGTAACCTACGAATATCCTCTGCTCTTACCGGCCATGTTTCACTGCCATAAAGTAGGACGGAACGAACTGCTGCGCAGTAAACCCATCCTTTGATAGATAGACAGAACAGACTGAGTAATAATTCCGCACATTCAAACTAGACTTATGTTCTAGTAAGTAGATTTGGGAATATTGATTTCTCCTATGGAGTAACAAAAACAACTTACATTGCGTTAACACCACGTTGACGAAGCCAGGCTAAACGTCTTCGCCGCCACCGATCAAATGCTTCACCCTAGAACGGAAGAATAGGTCCCGTGTTGACAAACAATAATTGAAATAATAATTTATTTATGTAGTGAAAACTAACCGTGCATAGCCGACCCCAGAAAAAAGGTGGAACACCATTAGGTCTAAAGGGTGTGTTTACGTGAGACTAGTAGATGGGTAACAGTCGTGACTGAAATTTGTGGGTTTCTGATATAATGGCAGAATAAAAATATTTTCCATTTCCATGATATACCACTATAATATGATAATATGGTCGGCGACTGAGACTATGCTACCACTAGATTGGATACTCGATCGATAACGCTACACACAAACTGGGATAACGTCATATCAGATACACGAATCATAACTAAATATAGAGGACCAGAGTGTAGACTAAACAATACTTTGACACAATTACACCCAGTTTGGAATCAGTGAGTTTAGAGTAGAAGTCGATAACAGGAGGGAAATCACACATTTAATGGTAAGTTGAGTATTTTTCAGTCCACAGTCAGTGGGCAGTCACATATTGCTTTCCCTAGCTTACGTCAGTTCCCTAACACTCAAATCCTCATACAACAACAGTTTATTAGATACAAGGTAAGGACAATCACGCCGTAATGTTTCTCAAGGTTTGCCTCAAGAAAAGTCACTTCTAGTTCAAAGTATTAGATGACAAAAGCTGGGAAATTATGAATGGGAATTCAAATCGTGGGAAAAATATATTTATGCCAGATAAAGTCGTAACATAATAAACGTTGAAACAGGGAAATTATCAGAACCGAGGACAACTGGAATTAAATAGTTAATTAAATGGGTTTATAGCTAAGCGGCTTGAGTCGTTATAGAAACCTAAAAATAATAAATAAAGATAAACGAATGTACAATTATTTATACAAGAATGAGGGAAAGTACAAGACATTTTTTGTCAGTACTACACTCACCATTCATTGCTTATTAGTCATATAGACGACTGACTAGTTTGCTGTTACTGTCCGTCATTTGGCACTCACTTATCACTATCAATTCCACACAAATTATCCCTAGTAGCTACATCGTAACAGAAATTCTGTTTGGAAAAATGCACAGATACTACAACTTTATGTAAGCAATGATTATGATTTGTAGTCATACTTTCTGCACTTGTTAATTTTATTGAACGACTGTCCTAGTAGTTCAAACCAGAAGTACAAAGGTTACTCATCATCAATGTATGGTTGCACATATTGTGACAAATCAAACTGGTAATGAGTGTTTGCTTTTCTGGCACCGATCGATTATTCGTTGTCGACAGTTTTCTTTTGGTGTTGGACAATAAATTTTTGTAAAGTAGTCTAGCCGTTTGTTGTGCTTCAATAATGAATCGGATTTTATTCAATTTTCTGATTCTGTGAATTGGGACAATTATATTAATCGTTACGTCTATATTTTGAAAAAACATCAATACAGTAGTCCCTGCATCTGTTTATTCCTCTGTACATGTTTTCAGAAATAGATATATATCGAAGTAACTCTTTTTAACACGTGATAAAACCATGGACTGTGTCCAGAAGTATCATTTGTTCAACTGTCTTGTTTTTAATGTGTGGTCCCGTAATCAGATGTTACACTTAAACACTACTGAATAAATATCTATGGGACCATTAGTAATTGCAAAGAAAATACTATTATTCTGTTTCAGATGCAACATTGATGACAGATCAGGTCTTTCCTTGCATGCTCAGATACAATATCAGATAACAATGTTAACACCGCCTACTAAAAGGTATATAAAGCAATGTATTGTAGATCACTAAAGTAGATGATCTATATCGAATGATTGGCAGCCAGCTCGAGTTGGATCAGCCGGCTAACCGCATGGACCAGTCAATGGCGTGCAATTAACTGATAAGCGTTAGTTGTCGTTGGTTCTGACGAAGATCGATGAACTGTTCTATATTCAGTGACCCAACTGCCAGATGATTTGGCTATGACTCAGTGACATTTCACTGGCCCTACAGTATCTTCCGTACAAGAGTGAATTATTAAGATGTTTTCGTCAGACAAGGTAAACGACACTGTTATTAGAAAAGGAAATTAATCATCTGGGAGATACGAAAATGAAGTAGTCATCAATTAATACTGATACTAACAACGAATAACTTATGGATGTACTGGCAAATATGAATATATGAATTATGAAAACATGCTTCAAGCTTAATCGACTGACCGTCTGTAATACGAAGATCTCTGGAGATGGGGAACATTGTATAAGAGTGAGTTCTTGTAGAATCAACATGACTTGCAATGTAGATGAACACTGAACACTTCTTGGCTAACATATGGAGAAACCTCTACGTTGTTAAGAGGTTAACAAGCAAGATATACTGCTCCAGCCACTAAGATTCAGTGTTCATTAGAGAAGAGTGACTGCTATCAAGAGGATCATTCTTTTCACTTGGAAATTAATAAGGCTCGAACACTTATTACCTATCGCTATCATCATTAACACAGATAATATATATATATATATATATATATATATATATATATATATATATATATATATATATATATATATATATATATATATATATATATAGTGACACAAAGACTAGCTTCAAGGGAGCTGCTGTTATTCTCCGGCCATAAGGAAGAAAATGCTCCACATACACAAGGAGTTGCACTAATGCTATCCAAACAAGCACAAAAAGCACTTATAGGATGGGAATCTCATGGACCCAGGACCATCAAAGCCTCCTTCAAAACAACGAAAGAAGGCATTACAATGAACGCCATCCAATGCTAGGCGCCTACCAACGACTGCAATGAAGACGTTAAAGATCAACTCTACGATAGGCTGCAGTCAATCGTTGAGAAATGCCCAACAAAGGACTTGACCGTTCTGATGGGGAATCTAAATGCCAAGGTTCGAATAGACAACACCGGATATGAAGACATCATAAGACGACACAGACTAGGAGAAAGGAACCTATGTGCCTTCAATAAACTGGTCGCAGGGGGCACCATATTCCCACATAAACGCATACACAAAGCCACATGGATTGCACTGGATCATACTACACAGAACTAAATCGACCATATCTGCATCAGCGAAAAGTTCAGGAGGACGATGGGAGATGTGAGAATCAAGAAAGGAGCTGATATAGCCTCAGATCATCACTTGTTGGTCTCCAAGATGAAACTGAAACTCAAGAAGAACTGAAAAACGGGGCACACAACATCACAAAAGTTCAATACATCCTTTCTCAATGAATTCAAGATAGCCCTTAGCAATAGGTCCCAGGCTTGTCACGCTCTACTCAATGGAGAGGGGATGTATGTCCTGTACACCTCCAACGTCTTCTACCGATTTCCTCAAAGGAAGCCTGTATTGAACTTTTGTAATGCTGTTCCCCCAGTTGCCCAGTACTACTTTAGCTTCAATTTCATCTCGGTCACAACCTGATGGTAGTGATGCGGAGCTATGTCAACTCCTCTCCTGGTTCTCACATCTTCCATAGACCTTCTGAATTTTTCAGTGATACAGATATGATCGATTTGATTCTTTGTAATGTGGTCAGGTGAGACCCATGTAGCTTTGTGTATACGTTTGTGGGGGAATATAAGGCCACCTATAACCACTTTGTTGAATGAACATGAATTTGCGAATCTGTCACCATTCTCGTTCCTTTCTCTTTGTCAGTTCATGCCGTTCTATGATATATTCATACCCATTGTTGTCCATTCCAACCTTGACGTTTAGGTCTCCCATCAGGATGGTGAGAGCCTTTCTTGGACACTTTGCTATGATTGATTGCAGCCGCTCATAGAATTGACCTTTACTGTCATTGTTACAATCATTGGTACGTGCATAACATAAATAACATAAATTATGACACCTCATGGTGAAAGCCGAGATTCTTCGTAAGTCACGAGGCTGATGCCCTTTCTAAGAACCAGAGCAACAATTTTTATAGGTACATGTAAAACTTGGCATGAATATATTTTAACAAAACAGATACAAAGCTCTCAAATTTGAATTCTAAAAGTTTCGGGCAATTGTATAAATATTAAAATTTTCTGATTGATTACTTACTGGAGTGTCGGTAGGCAACCTTTGAATAACTTCTTCACCAATATCTAGGGAATTTAAATCGTCGCCTGAGAAGTTGATGCGATCGACATCGGTAAATTTTTCTGTCAACTGGCAGAGATGATAGACTTCTTCACGATAAAGAGCCGTGTAACTGACCATTCCCGCCATCCATGGATAGCAGACAAGACCAAGAAACCAATGTGCACTGAAAGAGTTTTAACAATGACGACCAATCAATCTGAATATACAGAATGTCATGCGGTTTATAAAAGGTAAACAATCAGAATCAGTGACGATGGATGAATTTAAATACTAAAGAACAATGAACAATTGTAGTAGTGACTAAGTGAACAAATGTAACTAGAACTATATTTTTAGTATAACCTATCTACCAAGTTTAATTTAATGTACTTGGTTTCCGTCAGTATTTCTAGTGTAAGAGTTCATGATACGACTAGCCTAAACAAATCGACATAGATGAAGGCATATTAAAACTTTTAAATCAATAATTAAACGATCATCTGATTACTTATTTAAAAATAAACTGACAGTAGTACATACCAGTATCAACATAAATGACTTTCAGAAACATTAAACATGCAGTCTAGAAATTCAACAAAGAAAACTGCGTCGAACCTATTTTAAGTTTAATCATTCAGACTAAATACTGTGGTCATATTACTCGGGACTTCGTTGGACGAATTGTGTTATGTCATGGGGCAAGCACTCAGTGGTTAAAGAATACATTTTTAAAGTCACATTTTAGATTTTTTGTGTGTTTCGTTAACTTTGATTCGCTCAACTGCATATTATCCTCAACTTTCTTACCAAATAAAGTGAACACAAAATCCAAGTACATAAACCTGTACTCGATAAATGAGTTATATTATTCTGGACTATGATATATTTTAGGTTTCTTTAAAAGCAACATGTTGTTTTACGGAATTACTATTCTGTGAGTTGTTACAATATTATATGTTGATAATTCCACAAAATGTATTTATATATCGTACTGAATAGACTTCTATTATTAGTCTCAACATATGTAGACAAATATTGTCTACGAAAAAGGTGTTCATTGGGGGGGGGATTTTTTTGTCGAAATGAGCAAACCATTTGATGCGTCCAACCACATAATAATTCTGACAAATGGAAAAACAAGTTTTCTGATTGTTTATCGTAACAATTCTACCAAGTTAATGGAAGTTGATTGACTGTTCAGTAATGTTTTGTAAAATACTAGAGTTGGTGAATGACCTTATCAACACAGTTAAAGCCAACACTGAAATACGAGGTTCATGAGTGGTTATACCAAAGTTTTTCATGTAAGTGGTCCATTTTTTGCGTGATCAGTACTGCGAACCGCAGTAATCTTTGAGACCTAGACATTCTCGAATGGATTCTGAGTACACTACTGAGGATTGTGATACTAGAAAAGTTTGACAACACTATATCGAAAAATTTGATAAATGTACAATGGTAAACCAAATAATCCTAAGAATTCAACTAGCTTAACATAATTCAATCCATGTTTAAAAAAATAAATTTTTCAGAGACCTACCATTCGTTAATTGGAATAATAATATAATCTTTACTGAAAAGATCGACTCGACGTGTCCATTTCGCAACATTAGCATGCTGAGCAAAAATTGTTCTATGAAAACAACATGAATTGGAAATGGAAGAATTGAATATTTTCTGAAGGGTGTGGCAGTATCTTGAGAATTTTTTTTGAATACTTGTCGGATTATTGTCAAATTTCGTTGAGAATTTGTCAATCATATAAACATAGAGAAAATTTTCCCAACTAACGCTTACTCGTGTCATGCGGTTAGCAGAGATAAACGTAATTTGATGCAATGACATTACAGTTGAAATAATTTCGTAATGATCATTAAGAACTTTCGATGCGGATGAATAAATTACTGATTCAGTGAGTACAGCAAAATAGCAGAGATAATGCTGCACAGTTTCTCCTTAACAGAACAAACACCACATTATGTTATTAGTGAAATCGGGAGAAATAAGTTGACCAATTATTGTACTCAACTTTCCTGTTATTAATGATTGGTATTTTAGTCTTTATCTTTTTGTTCCTTGATATTCCTATGAGGAGTTTTAAGAAACTTTCACGCTTAAATGATATATAAAGATGTCAATTTAGATTAGTTAATGAGTTGTATTCTAATCACTTTTGTGACATGTTTGGTATCTTTCGAATCGGTGAAATCAATAGTTATCGTTGTTCGTGCGTTTTAGAAGTATTTTTCATGTATTCACCACCTTATTTTTAGGGTATATTAGTGATTGAACAAGTCCACCTTGTTTTTCGTATAGTCTGATAAGAAACAACAGGGAAATGTCATGGATATATGGAAAATTAATTTGTCATACAGCCTACAATTCGTTAATAACAGTATGGAGATATTTCTACATCATGAATACTGTTTTAATGCGTTATGAGCTTTTCAGATATGCTAAACATCACCAATGGGATTTCTTGCTGTTATAGTTAGTGCTGATAGTTGTAAAATGTCACGAGACAAAATCAAGGATAAGCATTTAGTAATTGAAAAAAAAACATGATCAATATGTTTTTAATGTGGTGGCTGGCGGCTGTATTCACTGAGTAATTAGAACTTGGTGAATTGGAATTTATAAAAATAAAACAGTTAACCTGGAACTCGTGAGGCAGTAACAAATAAAAAGTCGATAGATGGAACGTGTAACAATTGATGAGGTTGGGCCATGTTATGCAAATCCTACCACTAACTACTCATAAGAGTTATATTGTTTAACATAGAATTAGGTTAGAAGGCTAAAGGCAGCCAAGTGAAGATATGGCATGAGTTCATGGAGTCACTGACAACCAGTCTGAACTAGGTGAGTTAAGGAAAGGTTCACAACTGTTTCCAATCACAATAGTCGTAATCCATGGTTTGGTGACAAGTGTCAAAATCGATTCCATTGAAGCAATCAAAGTGACTATTTATATTTCTGTAGATGTTGAGCTCATTATCATTCCGCACAGTTCATTCTTCGGTTTCACATGTACTTTTTAATATTTATCTCTTGGTTAGATTTTCACAAGTTTTCCCGCTTCCCGTGTTTTAACTTGTTCTCTCGGTATGATAATGTAAGACATGACAACTCGATTCCATACATAATTGTTATAGATCTCAAAGTTGCCAAAGACTGACTGAGAACAACAAAGTATGATGGATTTAATGAGGTGTTCACTCCAATAAAAAGTGATTACAGGTTTTGCCAGTAGAAAACCAGAGGAGAGGAAATTTTATTAAAAAATGAATATTATTTGTATAGAAATATAGTAAGATCTTAAGGCACTCACAATTTTAACCGGAAGATTCCTTAGGAGGAAAAGTCGTTTTTCTTTTGAAGCTTATCAAACTATTGATTAGAGCACTTCAATACTCACAACTCATTAGATCCCGAAATCAGTATATCACTTCATATCTGTTGTCAGTATTTAGTCGACTAGCTTGAAATGCTGGTTTAGACTTCATCTTGTTAATACGCAGTATTTTTAATGAATATTGCGTCTGCTTATATTTTGTGTATAATCTTGTAACTATCTTCATTCCTCCATACAAGATCGTTATTACGTTAAGATCCTGATTAGCAATAAACGACTTTGATTTTATTATGGATACAGTAACTTTCTATACTGATATAAGTAAATCATTTCAAGTATGTTTGGAGCAACTTAATTAACCGGATACAGCCTGATATATACACTTTAAAATTAGGGTCTTTTTACTTAATATAATAATAGATTGAAAGTAATTTATTTATTAGAACACATAAATTAGTACAAGGGGGAACCAAATATATGTGTGCCACACAATAACAATGAGGTTATGAAAGGGTAAGGAATGTAGGGTGAGTATAATAAAAGAAGACCAACAATGAACGGAAATTAGTGTATGAGAGTGAAATAATAATGAGAGAAACAGTTCAGTCAATAAAAATACAACTAGAAAGAATTCTTTCTACAAGGAATGAATCACTGTCGATACACTGAGTATGATTCAAGAAAGGAGGAACAAGAATGCAGCAATCAATATCAGCTGGACATTAGCAGAGAAAGTCAAGTCACAAGCTGAATACACAGAAGTAATCAAGCGAGCGGAGAGGAGCATCAGAACATACAACGTAAATATGTTGATGATCTAGCAATGACGGCAAACGCTGCAATAGAAGGAATCATGAAATAACTGTTTGATACAATAAAGAAGCTCGCTGGAATTTACAGTAAACCGGAACGACCAGTGAAAAGTAAGGAAGGAAAAGTAATCATCAACAGTGAAGACCAGCAAAACAGGTGGGTAGAGCACTCCAAAGAACTCCTGAATCGACCGGCCCCACTGAATCCACTCATCACTGAATTGTGAGAGCTACAGAGTCATCACTCTTCTCTCAATACCAGGAATAGTCTTCAATAGGGTATTGTTAAATAGAATGAAGGACTCCGTAGACGCTCAGCTCTGAGATCAACAGGCTGGATTTCATAAGGATCGATCGTGTACCGACCAAATCGCAACACTACGGGTCATTGTGGAACAATCAATTGGATGGAATTCATCACTCTACATCAACTTCATTGGCTATGGGAAAGCATTTGAAAGCGTAGGTAGGACAACACTATGGATAGTTCTTCAACACTACGGCGTACCTGAGAAGATAGTCAATATCATACGTAATTCTCATGATGGGTTGAACTGCAAAATCGCGCACGGAGGACGGCTCACAGACTCGTTCGAAGTACAGGCCGGTGTCAGGCAGGCTTGTTTACTCTCACTCTTTCTCCTGGTGATCGACTAGATTATGAAGACGTCAACATCTGGGGGAAGCAAGGGATACAGTGAACAGCTCTTGTGCAGCCGGATGATCTAGATTTCACAGATAATCTGGCTCTTCTATTACAAGCAAACTCTTTTTTAATGGACAATTTCAGACAACAGTCCTGCTCAAAGAAGTAAAGGGAGCACTAACGTTAAGAAACACTATTATTTTGGACCTGTAATAAGTATGACAGTGTTCTAAATTTTGAAACGGGGTGAAGATCGGATCGATGAATCCTCGACGAGATCGAAAACCATTCCGTCTCCAGAGAGCCAATATTTCCCGGGTTTTGAATTACGGTATGACTCTATAGAGGTGTGTTACGGTTACGTTAAAAATTATTGGTATACATTGGAAATCAAAGCTTGAATATATGCAACGTGAAAATGTGAGTGTTGTATGTATTTTCGAAGTCGTAAAAGCAATATGAGCTTAGTTGATGTGTCTATTACTTGAATAGTTATCATATTTTTTATTGATGATAAGGGCAGATGATGAGATATGGAAGAGAGAGTAAGACTGGTTATTGTATGGTATCCGATACAATTTATGACGATAAACAGTGTAATAAACACCTGTAATTTTGAAGTGAAATTTCATTTTAAAGTGAAAGTAAAACACAAAAATACATAACATTAAAAACTCTAACGAACACATATAAACTACGAGGAAAGGAACGTAGATATAATACAAAAAATAACATTAATAAAAACACCAAACTTCGTAAGATTTGTACATACTCATCTGTGGTTTCTGAAGTCTTTGGTAAATTAGTTGAGAATGTAGAACCACGTACATCACTCGATATATAACCACCACTCGCCAACCGACTGTAGAAAAATACATTGAACAAATAAGTGGCTTGTTTTTGGAAACTTGTGAGCTTCTCGAAATACAAATATTTGAGATAGAAGTTAATTATAGCATCATTTAAAAGAGCTCCAGGTGCAAGACACTCAATATCATTATTGGTTATTGTTATACTGTCAGTAGACCCAGGAGGTTTGTAGTCGAACTTCCTATAACCAATAGAACAAGATTAAAATATACACACTGTTCATTTGACACTAAAATAAATGAAAGGTTCAACATTAATATACAATAGTGTTCTGTGCATGCAATTTGTATGTGTAGACGACTATTTATTTATTTAAACACATAAATATTGGTACAAGGTACCACATAGATATGCACCACATAAATTATTCGATTTGTGTGAGGGCTGAACCACTACCCGGGCACAGAAACCGAAGCAGGTGGTTTTCTTAGGGGGCTACACCCCGAGCCTTTGACCCAAAGGTCTAAACCACGAGGCAGTGAAGAAATGTTAGTAAATGCATTCTCAAGGTAGCCGGTGACCAACAATAATTCCATGCTCCATTTGTTCCCTCAGGATCCAAGAGCTAATGTGCACCATTGATTTGGAATCAGGGTTTTTCAAATCCCCTAGGTGGGTGCTCCGTTTCCACCACCCGGTCAAAGTGCCAGACATTTGCTATTCTTTCAGTTTCGTAAACAACACTCCTGCTGTGAGAAATAAGTGAAAAGGACTTCCCTGGCAGTGGTTTTATGCATGTGGCCAAGTGAGAGAATTTCGAGAGGGAGAGTTTACTCTCCCCACTTTCGGCCGTACCAGGGCATTTTGGGGCTAGAAGTTGGCTTAGAAACTAAATCATTTATTCGCAATAAAGTTTAGATACCAATCATCCCAAGATGATAAATTACAAACAAATAATAACACAATTACACTAACTCCCTTGTCTATAATCGTTTCTAATATACAATGAATGATAGTTACTGACCAACAGAAATCATTTTTATTCAGTTGTAAAAAGGTGTTGTTATAGTTAATGATGAAAAAACAGCCAATACAACTATAAGTTTGATTGGAAGTTATATTAAAGACATATTCATATGGTATAGCAAGGGTGTAAATAAATTTAATAGACTGAATATTGTAAATATATACCTTATGTGATGAAAGAACATTGTGATAACAGTTCAAACGGTTAGAAACAAATAAACTTTGATAGGAATGAAATGAGTAGAGTTCAGTTGATAAAATAATGGTGTAATAAATGCAAGAAAGAGTTCAAAGAAAAGGAAAAAAAATTATTAAGATATAACGAAGGAATATTAATCACCAAGGCAAGGAAATATTAATAACCATCTCCTTTTGAACACATAAATCAGGCTTTTGGCGCCTGATAGCAACTGCTTCAGCAAACTTCAGAAGAATGGAGTTTGGCTGCTTACCAATCACCTTGAATGATTGTAGGGTATCAACCTGATGTCCTGTATCAAGAAGATGTTTGGTGATTGCACTATTTAGAGTCTTTCTTTCTCTTGTTCTGAGGCTTTTTGGAACATGTTCAAAAAATCTGAGATATGCCCTCCTTTCTGTTCGGCCAATGTAGCTGCTTTGGCAGGTACACGTAAATTTATAAATACAATTGGCGGTAACATGAAAAGGATGCTTATCAACTTTTGATTGAGTTATTGAGCATGTTGTTTTATACAGAATTTGAAGTTTGGCTGCCGGATAAGTTCTGGCTAGCGCAGTATTCAGTCTCCTGTTGATTGTGTTCGCAACCTCGTCACCTTTGAAGTTAAGACTTATAGTTATTGGTTTTTTATTGACAGTAATTACTTCAGTATTGTTTTCTTTACGCTTCTTATACTTGTCAATAAACTTTTGTGGGTAAAAGTTGTCTCGCAGGCATTTTTCCACTTTCATCAATTCTTCTTCGAGTTTGTCAGTGGTACATATCTTTTCTGCCCTATAAAATAGTGTTTTAACTAATGCCTTCTTGTAACTGAGTGGACAAAAGCTATTGAAATTCAGGTAAATGCCATTCCAAGTACTTTTTCGATAAATCGAACGTTGGACTGTCCCGTCTCTCCTACGTTTTATAGCAACATCAAGAAAGTGGAACATGTCATTCTGTTCGTGTTCCATAGTAAATTGTATGTTAGGATGAGCGTTATTGAAGTGTTTTAGCATGCGGATTGCATGCTGTTTATTGTTACAGACAAAATACTGACAGGATCGATACAGAAGCTCAATTCGAAAGTCTGTTTGACCAGTTAAAGGATTTGCAGCCAATGAATGAGGAAAAGAAAGGATGGTTCAAATCAAAGTTAGTTGATATTGCAAACCAATACTTCGTGTCATCGACACCAAAGTCTAACCTTCTATCCAGAGAACATCTGACACCCCTAAGAAACATCAAACAAAACAATGAGGTGATTATTTTACGACCGGATAAAGGTTCAGGAGTCGTCCTAATGAATAAAGCTGATTATGTCACTAAGATGAAGCAAATCCTTGACGATCAACTGAGATTCAAGGTAGATAAATCCCAAAACGATTTAACTGATTCAACAGAAAAACGAATCAAAGGCATGCTTAGAGAACTTCTAAAAAGGAAAATGATAGGTAATTCTACTTATAATGATCTAAAACCACGTGGGTCACGTCTGCCTCATATGTATGGTTTACCAAAAGTTCACAAGCACGACGTTCCCCTTAGACCTATTCTATCAATGATAAACTCACCGTATCACAAAGTTGCACGCTGGCTAGCAGAAAAACTAGAACCGGTTCGTCGAAGATTAGCAACATATACGTTAAAAGATTCATTCCAGTTTGCTGATAGACTAAATCGTACGAATGTTGCCGATAAGTTCATGGTTTCTTTTGATGTAACATCCTTGTTCACCAATATACCACTTCTTGAAACTATTGATATAATTTGTCAGAATTATGATCTCCTACCTTTACCAGCCCCGGAATTCAAAAAACAACAGACGTTCAATTCCAGTTTAATAACACCATATATCGTCAGATCGACGGCGTAGCAATGGGAAGCCCACTAGGTCCAATTCTGGCAGATATTTTTATGGGGTATCTTGAAAACATGGTGCTTAAACAGACGATTAGCGAAACGACAGAATATTCCAGATACGTTGATGACACGTTTATTGTCTGTAACAATAAACAGCATGCAATCCGCATGCTAAAACACTTCAATAACGCTCATCCTAACATACAATTTACTATGGAACACGAACAGAATGACATGTTCCACTTTCTTGATGTTGCTATAAAACGTAGGAGAGACGGGACAGTCCAACGTTCGATTTATCGAAAAAGTACTTGGAATGGCATTTACCTGAATTTCAATAGCTTTTGTCCACTCAGTTACAAGAAGGCATTAGTTAAAACACTATTTTATAGGGCAGAAAAGATATGTACCACTGACAAACTCGAAGAAGAATTGATGAAAGTGGAAAAATGCCTGCGAGACAACTTTTACCCACAAAAGTTTATTGACAAGTATAAGAAGCGTAAAGAAAACAATACTGAAGTAATTACTGTCAATAAAAAACCAATAACTATAAGTCTTAACTTCAAAGGTGACGAGGTTGCGAACACAATCAACAGGAGACTGAATACTGCGCTAGCCAGAACTTATCCGGCAGTCAAACTTCAAATTCTGTATAAAACAACATGCTCAATATCTCAATCAAAAGTTGATAAGCATCCTTTTCATGTTACCGCCAATTGTATTTATAAATTTACGTGTACCTGCCAAAGCAGCTACATTGGCCGAACAGAAAGGAGGGCATATCTCAGATTTTTTGAACATGTTCCAAAAAGCCTCAGAACAAGAGAAAGAAAGACTCTAAATAGTGCAATCACCAAACATCTTCTTGATACAGGACATCAGGTTGATACCCTACAATCATTCAAGGTGATTAGTAAGCAGCCAAACTCCATTCTTCTGAAGTTTGCTGAAGCAGTTGCTATCAGGCGCCAAAAGCCTGATTTATGTGTTCAAAAGGAGATGGTTATTAATCTTTCCTTGCCTTGGTGATTAATATTCCTTCGTTATATCTTAATAATTTTTTTTCCTTTTCTTTGAACTCTTTCTTGCATTTATTACACCATTATTTTATCAACTGAACTCTACTCATTTCATTCCTATCAAAGTTTATTTGTTTCTAACCGTTTGAACTGTTATCACAATGTTCTTTCATCACATAAGGTATATATTTACAATATTCAGTCTATTAAATTTATTTACACCCTTGCTATACCATATGAATATGTCTTTAGTATAACTTCCAATCAAACTCTTTTATGTAAGTAATTTAAACCCATTAATTATGATTTTAAATATCACAGGTTGTAAGCAGCTGACGAGAACCAACGAAATAAAAGTGAATTCATGCTATTCTGCTAAAATGTTTGTTCTTGCTCTTTTCAAAATGATAAAGGGAACTATGTGTATGAAACAACTATAAGTGTTAATTTCACCGGTAATGTGCGTCTATGTAGATTTCTAATGACTTCTAATATTTATCATTCTCTCAGTTGACTTGATGTTACATGATGATAACGTAAAACGTTAAGTAACTTGGCAAGTGACAAAAAACGTAAAATGTTATAATCACATACAAGGAATCGTCATCAGGATTCGTAGATGATTCAGTTTGAGGATTGCCACTGTTAGTCAAAGCAGATGACCTAGCACTCTGAATACATTCGCCAGTATTTTCTTCACAGAGAATGATTAAATCGTCACATTCTTTATTACACTTCATAAAAAATTAAGAAAAAAGCATTGTAAGGAAATAGGGTCACTGTCAAGTGTTGAATAAATTAAGTTTAGATTGTGAAGCATTAGAGTCGAATAATACAAGATACAATGGTGATCAGAGAAACCTAATTAATTTAATCGAGCTTTTTTCTGAGAGTTGAAAGGTTTGCATATGGAAAAATTGTCTCGTAATGAAAGTCAAGTCACAGAAAGACAAGAAGCTGAAGCTTCTTAAGACAGGTAGAACAACAACTTATATAAAAACATGACATCTCCAGGCAATGTGAGAGACCGAGAGGACCATTTGAATAGTCACAGAGGTGATGAGATGCAACAGCACTCGGCAGCGTGGATAAAATAACCTAGTGGAATTTAATTGATACTATAAACCACCTGAGATTTTCACCATCACACGGAACTCCTACAACTTGTGTCAATACAAGGCTGCTTACTCTCACAGTTGCCCTCTCTACTAGCTGTTGACTGGATTATCAACACCTCCACATCTCACGAAAAGTACGGAATTCATTGTACATGTTGGACGTTGCTGAGTGATTTGAAATTTGTAGATTACTCAGTACTGTTATCACATACACAGCAACAGATGCAGACAAAGATAGCTGGCGTAGCAGCAGTCGCCTCGACAGGAGTATGTCTCGACATTTACGACGGAAAAAGCAAGACCCTTTAAATATAACACAGCGAGCACCAACCGAATCACACTTGGTGGAGAAGCTTCGAAAGGGGTGGGTGCCTTTATGTACCGAGGGAGTATCATTTAAAAACAAAAGGGATCCAATGAAGTTGTGAAGACACGTATTGGCAAAGCAAGAGTCAACATCCTTACAACTGAAGATCACTTGGAACTGAAAACAGTCGTCACCCGAGACCAAAGTCATAATCTTCAATACGAACCTCAAGACTTCTATTGAACTGAGCTGAAACTTGGAGAACTACTACAACCATAATTGAATAGGTACATGTATTCATAAACAGCTGTCAATGCCCGAAACTTTAGATCCCTTGACCGGAGTCTATCAGCAATAACCTACTGAGACAGATAACAAACCAGCTTCCATCTGGAGAGGATTAAGAAAAGACTCTGGAAGAGGATAGGACGCACATTGGAGAAATTATCAAACTGCGTCACGAGGCGAGCCGTAACTCAGAAGTAAGAAGAGGCAGATAAAAAAACACATAGTGCAGCTAACTGGAGGAATGAGCAGAAGTTGGCAACAACTGTAAAGGAGAGGACAAGGTAGTATTTTGTTGGTCCTTTGTGGGAGGCCTATGTATTAAGAGGGATAGCGAGCCTAAATAAAATCAGCACTACTCGATAACTGCAATAAGTGCATTGATTTTATTTTATAAAGTGATAAGAGAAAATCATGACAAAAAAGTTCATCAATTTACTATTCGTTTGGTTCCATAACTTTTTATAGAGATTGACAGTCATTTAGGGATTTAATTTCTACATGCTTTTATGGGTAAGAACCAACTTTTCTTTAACATCATCCGTCCTCCTCAACCCACAGTCACTTAAGATATCAAGGACTTTGTCACTTGTCTAACAAACGTTTGTTTTATCAAACGGTTGCATAATAATTGCAATCTATTCTCATTGAAAAGATAGTTTCTCTATAGAAGTTGGTCATGTATTGACGTAAACATGACGATGTATTTCTTTCAAATTTAAGGACGAGAAAGGTGAATTAATATTTTACAATTAATGGATACGTTAGTACAGACTTCTAGTGTGCATTAGGATGAGGTCAGAAGTGGGAGGATATTTCACCGACAAAATTCTATTACTTACAATTAGTAAGTAGTTAATGTGCCAAATACTTTAAAAGTATTAGATTGGCATACAAAATCAAGTGCAAACCACTAGTTGTTTTTGCTAACAGAATGTATATTTAAATACTCTTACCGTGAATTCTACCAGTTCATTTGACTTAACTAAGTCACCTGAGAGAAAGAGCTTGATATCAATAGGATCAGTTTATTAGGTGGTAAAAAACGGACAAATATCAAATACACCAACATTTCGGCTCGTTTAGTATTCCAGTATTCTAAGTCAACCTACCAACTTGTATAAATCCAATCGATAAAGCAGAGGACTAGATCTATTAAGATAGGTCCATTAAGCTAAAAATCCACTTTCTTTTCAACACGGGAAACTGTGAAGGATTTTTAGACACTATACAGAAGGTTGATCGGAGCCACTAAAATGTTTAAATTTGATTGATAAACTGAATTATTGGCAATTCAATCTCGCTGAAAACACGCCATACAAAGTGTTTTCATATCACATGATTTACTATGAAAAAGTACTTAATCACAATTAAAACAACGAGTTACAGGCGTTTTCGTAGAAGAAGCTAGTTTACAATACTGATAGTTTTAAGAATAGGGAAAAATACAAAGAAAACGAAAATCTAACATGTCATTCGGAAACACTATTAACTGAGTCCTTAGTAGGATCCCAGACATAGAAATCCGATGCGCAACACACTAACCAGAAAGTTTAATGTTTTCTGAAAGTGGTAGCAACGACTATGCACAATTACGATTTTTAAAAAATTCAATGAATATGAGGACGAGACTTAATTGAAGACAATTTTAAGTGCGGGCTGGCAGTAACCACTGATAATCAGTAAGTCACATGCAGCTGTTTCATTTTTATTTAAGATTCATAAATCTTTTCATAATGTAGAACATAACCCGTACGTTAATGATTAAAATACAGTTGTAACATCGATCTTGCATAAACTTCTCAACTAGAAACTTATCCACCATTACAAGTAACATAATGCGAGATAAATGTAACAAGATTCTGAGTGAATAACCTAAATTTTGTGGTCAACGAATTAAGGAGTGAAAACATGCCGAAAAAAGAGGATGAACAATATCCACACCACACAAAAATTAGAACAGGTTTATACTACTATCGGATTTACGATATGTGAAACAATCCTTTAACTTACTTCACCTATTGTCAGTTTTCCTTGGACAGTATTTTCGCTTTCCTGAGGAAGTGAACTTGAGTTATTTGTCAGTTGGATACCGGAATGAGTAAGAGTATTTATTACATCAGTTAGCAGACCTCCCTCATTTGCGTGTTTGTCAACTTGGGATGAACTAGATTCCAAATTTGAAATGGGATGCTTATCAGACTTGGTTTGAGCTTGATCAGCTTGGTTAGAAATTTGAGACTCACGAGAAGTTGAATTAGTCCTTTTAGATTCAGCACGTGGCAAACGAAGGCCACAACTAGAAAGAATTTCTCTAGCCTTTTCTGCACTACAATTTATGTCACAAGATCCATTTTCACGAACTCGATTAGCTAAACCTTCGAGATCATCTACTGTTACATACAACAAGTCACTAGCAGATGGTTCCCGGAATACCAAAATTAACCATTTGACGCTTGCTTTAAAATGAATAAATGGGAGGGGTTTGTCAAACCATATGATCAAAACACTTTCAAAAAGAATTACCTCCCTAAATAAAAATGTTTACTAAAGAATTTAATAAACTTAGTTTTCTGTGGACGAAATAATGAGTAGAAACCATGTAGTTAGAAAACTAAGGGTTTCATTAAGATTAAAGGAGAACGGTTATTACTGAACGCTTTTTGGTCTAGCCAGCAAAGACTAGGTCACTGCTTGCTACAACGAATTTTGATGAACTAACCAGTGCTAAAGTACCCTATTTATGGGTCAGAAAGAAGTAAAAATTTTAATTTTTAGACTTTTGTCAACGGTAATGAGTACTAACGGGTAGTGGAGACATAATTTGGTTGTGTTACATATGAGTTTGAAGATTCTTAAAAACATAACTGAGGTTAAAAATGGATGTTTGAAATGTGAGTTTACCTAGGGATTACCCTGTTTATATATTAATCATCTGTTTGAACAAAAATATTAGTACAAAGGAGCATCAAAATACATATGCACCACATAAGGTAGTTATCACTAAATCTATGTGGTTTGGGATACTGTCCAGGTCTCCAAACAAAAGCAGATGATTTATTTAGGCAGCTAATCTCAAGCCTATAGCCCAGAGGTTTAATCCACAAGGCGGTGAATCAACGTCAGGAGATGCGGTCTTTTAATAGCCGGTGGTCATGAATGGGCGTTATTTGTTCCCTTAGTAGCGTGGAACCCATATGCAACAATGGTTTGGGATTACGGTCTTCCAGTTCTTCTAGGTAGATCAGCCATGCTCACTAACCCGGTTCAAGTGTCCGATGTTCACTTTTCGTCCTCTCAATTTCATAAACACCCCGCCATGATAAGGGAATGAGTAGGACTTGCCTGGTAGTGGCTATATTCGCGTGGTGATATGGGAGCATTTCAGGAAAGTGGACTCTGTCTACACTAGACCGGTACCAGGGTATTTGGAGCAGTATAATCGATCTGATCTGCAAAGAGAACTTTTAATTCTTCAGGCTATGTAACTAACCAATATCGTAGAAGATCAATTAAAAATCTATTTACAAATAATCAAAATATTTAACAGCGGATATCCTTCTTGTATTAAATCATTCTATGAGCGTTATGGTTTATATCTGTTGTAGGAGTAGCTGAGATATTGAGAAGTTTATGATCGGTTAGAGAAACGGAATCAAATAAGGCAGAAATGAATCAATTAACTACTGCATGTTCATTACTGATATCGACAATAACGAGGAAGGATCATAGTTGATGAATGTACGTACACTGGTCGATCATATAGTAGGGCGTGAACAAAGAATTGTGACTATGGAACTATGCTCAAATTTCCGGACAGATGAAGCGAATACCTGTAACGATGATCAAATCAGTATACTAACACTTTTTGAGACTATTACACAGAATATATTTCCTAGTACAGCTGGTCAAGCTCTAAGAGAATACTCAATAGGAACACAGGAAATATCCCTACAAATTGGTAAGAACACAATCTCATGTATCTTTAATAATGAAACTGATATCCCATAGACAGCTTTGAAGTACGTGGAATGGGCATGGTTATTACATAAAGAACACTATTTTGCTAACCGGATAGACCCTTGTAGGTTAGTGAAAAGCACTCGCATGTACAATATGTACTGGGTATGGTCAGAGTGACAAGAGTTACAAGGGCTTTCGCTTGCATCGAACAATCGTTTGCAATGAATAGATCACACCCAGTAGTAGCCACATAAGGTAAACAGTAATGGAGTAGGGAATGTCTTATTATATTTATGGTGATTTAATCTATTGCCATTACAAATTTTATGCTGTTTGATTCCACTTTAAGCGTGTCATTCTACTGGTTCTCATGATGTCCATGGATTTAGTAGTCAGGTCAGTTTATGATATAACGTCGAGAGAGAGTAGTGCTTACATATGAACTATTAGCTCATCAAGACAGTTGGGTGATCAATATCTGTTTAGTTACCTAGATTACTAACCCATGATCACACTTTACTGTTCGGTGAAGCTAAACAATATTATGTAGTTCGGTTACGTAATGAAAAATGAGTGCTCCTCAGTAAGAAATCACATGATAACTGATAAAAAAAAACTCACGCAAAATGAATTCCCTGATTCTAAGCAATTCAGAAAGCTGTGTCTTGAAAGAAATGGATGGTTTGACGAAAATCACTTGGAGGGTTTCGCAGAAAACAAGCATTTCCATATTATTGTATTGGATGGTGACACTAGTCCACACGCCTGGAAATAGAACACGTAAAAGGCTTACCTTCTACTTTAACTTTGCATGAAATGGAAGATGAACTGATGCAACAATCTTCAGCACGGCCATCAAAAATCCCTGACCTTCCGATACTGAATATGTTAAGAGGAACAAGGTGGGTGTTGTTGGCCATCCTTGATCTCTTCACTGACGGTGTACCATTGGATGATGGTATGACAGGTTCTGTTTTAGCAGAAGACTTCAGAGAGGTATCCGATAAATCAATAACTTTGTTGCACATAGTACACCTGAAGTCAGTGGGACAAGCAAGGCCGTGACAGTTTGGTTGAGGACACCTCCAAAATCTTTTATTTTTTTCTTCATGGACAGTTCTGTGGAAATAAATCTTTACCAACAGGCAAAAACATACGGTGACTTCCCACCCAGCGCATCTTGGATCTCTCGTAACATCATAATCCGAAGGCCAATGAAGCGCGCCTTCTAGGTCGATTTCAAGTTTTAATGAACAAATTCAATGCCAAGTGAACGAACCAACTTGTTTCCTTGTTGTACTTGATTTCTCAGCTTCGAAAGTAGGTTCTCCATATCCTGAAGTTTAAAGCAACTCGTTTTACTCATTGAACATTTCTCTGAAATCAGGCAAACATCAAGGTTTCTAAATGTTAAGACGAGGTATGGTTTATTGCATAACTGTTATGTCATCCCGATATCGCTTTATCTGATTATTATTTATAAGGTCAAGATCATTTTGGAAGGTAGAATAAAGCTAGTAAAAGTGGTATTACTAATAAAATTACGAATAAAATTTGGTGATCAATAGTTGTTGAGGTGTACAAAAACTATGGAATAAATTGTAATGAGAAACCAAAAAAGATGAAAAAAGTTTAAATGGATAGGAAATTAATGGCGTAAATCGCAGCATAAATATTAAGCATCAGATTTTTAGATTCGGAGGCCCTATTTTCAAATAGAATGAAGATAGGTCGTTATCTACCGAGGGTTTCTACCACAACTAAAGCAATAAAAACAGTTAGTTATCTAAGTTGCCCATTAAATGGTAGTAATAATATGCCACAGCTCAGTTGTGAGGATCATTGAGAGCATTTCAAAAGTAACAGTCATAACACGCAAAGTACTTTTTATGGTGGTATTGTTTCTCGTTGAGTTAATTAAATGTTTTGATCGTAAACTACGCATCAAAACTACTGTTTACACTTTAATTGCATCTACCCCAGTTAAAGTGATATTGTATTGAGTTTTTCGATTTTGCTTCTATGTATTTATTGCATCGAAGCATACTTGGTTGACTTTAACTTGGTTTATTTAGTTAAGATTAGAAAATCCCTTTACATATCCTGTTTTTTGTCACCGCTCTAGTTGATTTTCACGATGGCTAGGTCTACTCATAAATGTGGACAACCATACTGCTTATTTCCCGTGGATGAAGGGATGCAATGTGATGAGTGTAATAAGTGGTTCCATAAGATGTGCACCCGACTAAGCCCCACTGCATATAAAAGGTTTTCAAAGCCCAACTCTCATTGGCTTTGTAGTTTTTGTTGCTTAAGCAAAACATTGCTTATCCAGGAAGCAATTAGTCTCCTGGTGTTGGCTAATAAGAAGGTTGATGAGGGCTGTACTGATAACATTGGTACTGATGGCGAAGATTGCATTAGTGTCGTAAGTGCTATCACGGCGCAAGCAAGACATCTACCTGTGCAACCCGAAGTTAAACGCTCTCCCCCGAAACGTTCAGTGAGTGACACGTCATTAGACGTTGGTGGCCATATTGCTACAACAGCAACCGGTGACCCAGATAAAACAATTACTGTCCCGAGTTGTTCTAATGTAGACGTTTCGATTGATGGAAAATGGATGACGCGAAAGCGCAGAAGAGTAGGAAAGATAGCTAAAACTAATGACTGTTTACTTGGTAAGTCCTTGGTGGACTCTCAGACCACTCCGCCAAAGTCCCATAGTAAAGCTTCGTCTAACATTGTGAGTCACTCGCTCGACTCCCAGGGCTCTGTCACAATAAAAACTAATCGTAAGATACCAGTAGTTAAAATACAGGATATAACGTCGCTGTCGAAAGCTGTGAACACAGTTTCAAAAGAAGCAAAACCCCTCCCTGGTTTAATTATTTGGAATCTAGAGGAGTCGAAAGACAACGACACTGCTAGAAGACATGCACATGACCTGAAGTTAGTGGAGTCTGTGGTAAGGAATCTACTACCTGAAGAGGTTTCAGGAGTACATATTACAAAAGTAATACGACTTGGTAAATGGGTTGGAGGCGAGACCCAACCAAGAAGAATCCTGAAGCTGGTTCTCAGGAGTTTCGAAGAAAGAGACATATTATTGAAAAGCGCACTAAAAACTCGTGCCTCAAATATCCGTATTCGACCAGATTGGCCACTTGAGGATCGAATCAAGTGGAAGAATGCTCTTACGGAGTTGAGGACTCGCAAATTAAACGGCGAAAATAACCTTACCATTAAGGGTTTTCGGGTAGTCAGGTCTTGGAAGCCAATGCTTCCGAGGCCTGTATGGGTAGAACGGTTGATTGCCAAAACACCTTAAGTGTGTGCTACACGAACGCTCGTAGTCTTAGAAATAAAACGTCCGAGCTAAGTCTGATGGTGCAAGAATTATGTCCCGATATAAACATTGTTACAGAAACTTGGTTCACCGTTGATATAGACTGTCCTCATTTCATTGCTGGTTATATCTGTATCAGAAGTGATAGAGTTTCAAGTCGCAAAGGGGGAGGTGTAATATTATACGTTAGGGATCACTTTCGTATACAATCAGCCATATCGGAGGCTCATATCAGTGGCACATGTGAGGTTGCATGTTGTAAGATTAAATCTAGAAATGGGTTAGTGATTATAGGGGGAATATCCCGTAGTTCGTCTTGTCTTGCTGACGATTTTATCCTAAGACACATCTGTTCTTGGAGTATGTCAGAATGTTGTCTCATCATTGGGGACTTCAACGCACCGCATATCAACTGGATAGAGCTTACAGCTCCAGGTAGTGGTTTCGATAGCAACCTTTTATCTACCGTTATTCAGTGTGCACTTGAACAATGTATCACAAAACCGACTCATATTGATTTGCGATATGTTCCGTCACTGCTGGACCTCGCCCTCACCCACCACTCTGAGGATGTCCTTGATATCCAGCACCTTCCTCCACTAGTGAACAGTGATCACGTTGTAATTCACTTCAAGTTTAGGACACATGGTATACAATTCGTATCTGCTCCACCCCGTCCCAATATCTGGCGAGCTAATATTCCGGAAATCAGAAACTGTGCTATCTCGACTGATTGGTCGGTCGACGCGGATGGATTGATCGAAGATGAATGGAATAAGTTTAAGGCTACATCCGAGTCCGTAACGTCGCCGTTTATCCCATGGTCAGCACGTAAGCTATCACATTGCCCTCCATGGATTAATAAGGAAACCCGGAAGCTGTTAAAGCGTAGGAAACATTTCTGGGACTTATTCTTGTTGACAGGTCATGCACCATTTAAGCGTGAGTACCGAAAATTCCGTAATATCCGTAAAAAAACCATAGCCAAATCCCGTACCACTTACGAATGACAGTTAGTATATGATAGCCGTACTTGTCCGAAACGATTGTTTTCGTATGTTAAACGGCGAATGATACGTAGTGATGGTATTGCCCCGTTACTGTTACACGAAAATTCAGAATTACTAGCTGAATCAGATCGAGCAAAAGCTGAGACTTTTCCAGACTATTTTAGCGAAATATTCTCTACGTTTATTGTAAGAAATACTTGTCCCACTCACACCGAGGTAACAACCATTGAATCTGTACAGGTGACTGAGAAAACAGTCCTTTCGTTGATAACTAACCTCAAACCTGATAAGATACCGGGCCCTGACGGGTTACATCCACGGTTGCTGTCGTCTCTTGCGAACATTATTTCAAAACCGCTCGCGACACTCTTCAACATGTCCCTCTCACTCGCTCAACTCCCTAGAGATTGGAAGGACGCTATAGTTAGTCCTATATTTAAGGACGGTCAGCGACAGATAGTATCTAACTACCGGTCTGTCAGTCCAACTAGCATAGCCGTTAAGTTACTTGAAAAGATAATTCGGGTTAGTTTGCTAAGCCACATAGATTTACACAATCTGTTAGCTCTTGAGCGATACGAATTTCGTAAGAAGCGTTCATGCTTGACTAACTTGCTTATTACAAGAAAGGATTGGACAGCAGTCCTAGATAACGGTCTGTCTAATGATGTGATATTCGTAGACTTTACCAAAGCATTTAACAAGGTTTTACACGTTGGTCTTATGCAGAAGCTCACGAGCTTTGGAATATTAGGTACTGTACATGAGTGGATAGGAAATTTTTTATGTGACCGCAGACAGAGATTGGGGGTCAACGGAACGCTATCCGACTGTAGGCCGGTCAAAAGTGGTGCACCCCAAGGCACCATCTTAGGCCCTCTGTTCTTCCTTCCCTACGATAATGAGTTACCGCTGTTACTTAGGTCGTTTGCGGATGATGTAAAAATCTGGACAACAATAAAAAGTGCAGCTGATCATCTGGATCTTCAAGCTGACTTCGACGATTTAGTTAGATGGGCTCGAGAGTGGGGCTTAGAAATCAATGCTAGGAAGAGTGTACTCATGCACATCGGTCACGGTAATAGTTACCGTTACACTATTGTGGTAAACCTCTTCCATGCGCTCAAGAGCGTAAAGACTTAGGAGTAGTATTAAGTCATGATTTAAAAACAACTTCGCATTGCAAAGCAGCCGCTGACAAAGGTTTTCGTTCGTTATGGTTACTTCGCCGAACGTTCAAATCTTTTGATGAGAAAACGCTTCAAATTTTATATCCCATATATGTTAGACGACATTTAGAGTACTGTATCCAAGCAGCTAACCCGTGTCTGATAAAGGATACTAACTCCCTTGAGCGTGTCTAGCGTTTAGAAACGAAATTAGTGAAGGGTCTTTTTAGACTCCTTTACGGTGAGCGTTTAAAACGCCTAAATCTTTTACTCTTGTCGTATCGTAGGACACAGAGTGAACTTATACTGGCATTTTGTATCTTTAATTATGATTTGGGTGTTAATATGTCTTATCTTTTTGCTCCCTCTAGCACTAATAATCTCCGAGGTCATAGCAAGAAGATTCATAAACCACGATGTAATAAACTTAAAGTGGGGTCTCGTTTTTCTCATCGAGTAGTCAACGATTGGAACACCTTACCCAAACAAATGGTATCAGCCCCATCAGTTAATACTCTTAAGGAGAAGCTGGACCTTCACTGGAAAGCAATGTGTCCGGATTAATACAGGTTCACCAACCTACTATCTTTATTACTAAAGACTGGAGGTGAGTGAAGACACACTAAATGAAGTAGCTTTATCATCATTTGATGTTGAACTCATGTCTGTCAGTTTCGATAGTAAAAATTAGTTTGAAGTGCT